GAAATAGTGATTAAATTAACACCTTATTAAATTGTAGCAGTTAGCTCTCTATTATAGTATGGTAAATCATTGCATCTATTTTTCTGATAATGTTAGGAAATATATTAATTTTAGATAAAAAAAAATACTCGAATTCGCGACATTCCTTAGCTTTGCAATTTAAATTAAATAATGTGTTTAAAACAAAGCATTTTTAACTTTCAGTTTAAATTCCGAGTAAGCATCCATTAAGAACTTTAATTACCTTAATATTTTATTTGACGCAGCACTTATGAACTATTTTCGTCTCGTATTTCTTTCTTTTCTCAACCAAACTCAACAGCATCTTTTGTTACATTTCTGGCAGGGCTCTTTATTATACACTTTCCATTGTTATTTCTTTCCATGTTTTTTTTTTCTTTTCGAGATGGAGAATTGAGTAGCCGAAGAAATGTATGAAAAATAAAACTCTCTCGGAGAAATAAGTTTCTCTTCGATTCACTTGGTGGCATGACCCAGATTATTTGACCTCAGATAAAACAGAAGTAACACGAGAAGCCTAACTAAGTTGAGTGTCACAATCGATTGAACATACTGCTTTTCTCTCGTTTCTGATGAGAAATTTCTAACAGCAAAAATTGTAAATGATCTGAGAACAAGATTGTAATAGCGTCTGTGTTTCTCTTTGGGGGAGGGTGAAAAAGGATTTTTTGCTCATTTCGTCACCTTCAATTATTTTTGTCGAGTTCTTTTTTTTTTTTAAATTTTTTTATGGGTTTCATATTTGGTTTAGAGAAAATTGATCGTGATACTTTTAATGTTTGCTTTTAATAAACTTAAGTATGACTCAACTTAATTTCTAGTTCATGATGTTAAGAAATATAATCTAAAGCACTAAGATCTTTTAAATATTCCAATTATTCTAATTTCTTGAAACTGTCATTCTTCATTTCTTGTAAAATAATTCCGTTTTAAATTAATTTCATATTTAATATTAAAGGAATAACTATTGATTTTGATGTGTGAAACATCCTGTTAATCAAAACTCTCCTAAATCAGAATATCTAATTAATTTCAGTAATTTTACTAAAAGTTAAAAGACTAAAGTGAAATGTTGTCAATTTAAGTGGTATAGTGTCTCCTATTACTGGGATCAAGCGAAATGTTATTGTTATTCTTATGTTATTTTTATTCTGTTATTCTTATACCTGTTTTTTATTTGTACCCCTATAGAAAAAGTATACATGAAAATGTAATACGCACTATAAAGAGCTGTCATTAATGTGTGTTAATTCATTTTCGTTTTCTCTTTCCAACTCGACAACATTTCGGTGCGTACTTTTGAAATTACTGATGGTATAACACATTTAAAAACATCTTTTTTTTTAAAAACACTTAAATTATAGGTTTTCTTTATAGATTGGATGTTGTCAGTCATTTGATTTTGATGTTTTTAAAGCTTTAAAGTTGAACAAGTTGAAGAAATTAAGTTCAAAATAAATTATACTAAAGGTTGTTGAAGTTCATTGAAGAAAGCCCTGAATTCACTATCCAGATTATTTACTTAACACCGATATAACAATTACAGTAAAACAATGCATTTATATCGTTTTATTTTTAAAAGAGCTTATTTCTGCTTCAAATTTTGTTACGAAATAAAAATATCCAATTCACACAATTCAAGTTTAGTTTTAGAATAATAAAATTTGATTTATTCCTTTAATCCCAGTTTAGTTGATTAAATTCCTTTCAATGAAATGCAAAGTGAAAATAAAAAACAAACGCAGGAGAAATAAAGCGAATGGATCATTTTTGGATCTTTAGGTTCATTTAAGCGACGAGGGAGTTGAGATTATATATTATGACAAATAAAAGAAAATGAACACACAAGCATATGAAAGTTAACACTAAAAATTTAAAAAAAATATTCAAATATAAAATTTAAAGTTTGAAAGATGCCAAACAGGCGTGTGTAGTTTAAAGCAAGTTAAAATTTTCAGTCATAAAATCTCAACATTATAACTATAAAAAAACATACACAAAAGAAAATAAAAGTAGAATTACCATGAGAAAATATTTTTAACATTTGGTAGAGAAAAGTTTAAAAAATTTTTATGAGTTCTTTAAAATTATTTACGTTGTTTGCATTTTGAATTTCAGCAGGAAGTAAATTAATTTGTGAAAAATACTGAAAACTTTTGCAAAAAATGTTTTTGTAAGGCTAGGGTATGAAATAAATTTGTTACGTCTTCTTATGCATCTTCATCTTTTTTGTTGCAAGCGTTTGGGTTTTTGAAAAGATGTAGACATAGTTTGTAAGATATCAAACTACGGACTAGTAATATGTTGAGTAAATGGTTTTGATTAATTCGTTCATTTATATTCCGTAATTAATAAATTAAGCAAGTTATTAGTTGAATATTAGGTAGCGTATTTATGTTTATTGCATAATCCTTACCCTAAACTGCTAATGGATTTATTATATCAATGTATATGGGCGCTAATTATTATTATAATTTAAATTTTGTATGAAACAAGACATTTTTTCTTCTGTTTTTTGTTAAAATATTCAATTGTGACAGTATTAGATCTATATATTTTAAATAAAATGATAATGCATAATAATAATTATAACAATTAAGTAAATGAAAATGTTAAGTAAAATGACAAGATTAAAGCAAATGATAATTTTTGAGAATAAATCGTATTAAGAAAAATCGTATTGAGATTTGATATAAACACTAATACCAACAGATCTATAAAATGTTCTGAGATAGCGAAAAGCATTAATATTTACATACTGTATAAATTTAATGCATTATTCAGTCATCTAAGTTTCACTTAAAATTAAAATAGAAATTATGTCTAAAGTATCATATAACATGGCAATTAGTACTTTAAAATTAGATCTTAAACGTTGAATATAAAAGTGAATAATATTTGATGTAGTTAAACGTAAGTCTGGGGTTAAAAGATATTTTTAATTAATTAGATTGTATAAAAATTGAAAGTCATGAAGGTAATTTTGACACGACATATCTTGTCACAAATAGCTTGGGTTTAGATAGTATCTTTTCGCACTCAAGTATACATTCTAGCATTTTTATTTTTACGTTGAAATATTTTACCCTCTATTACCCAACAAAATTATCCCTTTCGAAAGATTTACTTTAAAATAGTTTTTTCAAAGCTGGTGCCAAGTACTTGTTTAATGGGAATATATTGTGTATGTCATTATCTATTAGGGGGTGTTTCCTTTTGGCAGCTATACGTCTCTTTGTGATTTTTAATTAAACTGGACAATAAGCCATCCCTTCGTCTCTTCGGCGCTTGATGTAGTGTTACGGTTACATACTGAGTTATTTAATTCTAGTCTGGCCAAAACTCTATCAACTGTTTCGTCATTTTGGACCTTAGGTACCTGATAATTATAAAATGACATTTGTAGCTCTGTGATTTCACTTTTCAAGATTGCAAATCATTTTTAAAAATTATTATTTTCAACAGCTTTTTTTTTTCAAGGTTTGCATATCATTTTTTAAGCCAGTGATTGTTTCTTTTAGATTTAATACAATAGCGTTATGACATTTAAATTTTTCATTTACTCGTTGTAGTGTTCCGAAATAAAAGAATTGAGTTAGAAGCTTTCGTTTTTCAATTTTGCAAGTAGATTTAAAATTTCTTTTACACACTTTTCGATAGACAAGTTTGTTTCAGGATTTGTTGCCATCGTTATGTTAACATTAGATTTCTTTTCATGTTCAATGAGAATTTGATTGCCTGGATTTATAGATGAAGATTAAAATTGTATGCATTTCCATCTACTTCCTGTTTCTCCAAAAGAATTTTCGTTAAAACCTCCGTAGTAACAAATGGTAGCTGCCTTTGCAAGTTCCGGGACATTGAATTATATCTTGTCGGCTTATAATACCGTCGCTGCATACATTATAACCATTACTTTACGATGTAACACTTCAAAGGTTTATGACTGATAAATATTTGGTTGATTTTTGTTTATAAACTTAATTTATTTTTGATATTAACCCTATTTTGATGAAAAAGAATTATTTATTGCAATTTCAAACTGCTAAAATTGTTTCAGGAAACGAAAATACACGCAACCGACACAGATGTTGCCAACGAATTTTTAATGAATCATAAAAATTAATGATAAAAAGGAATCCTTCGAAACGGCTTAAATGCATACCTCGAAGAGAAAAAAAACGAATGTCACTCTTCCTAAACGGCCCATATCTGAGATCAAATAGTGTAAAATTGAAAAGGTTTCTATATGATGGTTACTACAGGGAGGGGAGGAGCAAAGCTCGACAAAAGTTCAGAGTTCAATTAAAGGTTTAGAATCAAAAAATGCAAAAAAAATAAATAAATAAATCTTATGAATGGCTTAAGAAACTCCAAGAAGTATAGTAAGGGAAGAGAATCCACGTCTATCGTGTCTAGAAATTTTGAAATGCAAAGCCATAAAATACGACTCTGAGACTTTAACCCTCAAAGGAGAAGCAAAAACAAAGCTTAGAGTGAAACTTAAACTAAAAAACAAAACCGACAAAGAAGCGAAAGGAGGGAAAAATACATTGAACTAAGATAGAAAAAAAAGGACAAACAACTTATAAAATTCTTTTTCATAAATAGTGAAATAGTTAGACATATAATAATAACATGTAATTAGACATATAATTGGAACACTAAATGTTAACTTTTTTTCACACTGAATCGTGTCAAAATATTCGTACTTTTTTTAAAATTCTCACTTCTCAAGGACAAACTCCATTCCAATTTTGGATTTTGTCACTTAAAATTAGACAGTTATAGATGATAAAAAATATTGTCTAATTTTGTTAATTAAACTATCGTTTACATTAATGTTTTACCATATTTAAGGTTAGGGCATCAAACCTTCGCATTGTACTGTGTTAAAATCCGACCATTAGATCAATAGTTATTCAATTCTATTTTTGATTATGTGCCCAGTAAAAAGAATGCCAAACATGTGTACTTACCAGTCCAGAGACGGTGATGTTCTCTGAGCTGCTGAGAGGTAATACGTCCAGAGAAATTAATCCTTCCATTGCTTCCATTATTTCCCACGTCGAGCAATTTACTTGTGAGACTTTCTCCCACCATCTTTCTGTGTACATTCCAACTATGATCCACTGGTACTTACGTCCGAACATTTTAAGTTTATAAGCCTGAAATCGAAATAAAGGTAGCTTGAATTTTTTTCCTTTACTGTAAAATATCAGATCGCTCTCTGAGCGAATATATTTTTCTCCTACTACATCTTTCCTCGTCGAACTACCAAAGTAAGGGAGTCATCTCTTCGGCAGAAGATCAAAATTATGATGGCATATCTCCGGATCGTCCTTAAAGATGTTTCCCAGACCGTCGCCAATAGCCCATTGTGCAGCTCTAGTGCGACGTAAATAACAGTACCTACCTACTGATCTTTCCCACTGATGCTTTTTTCAAAACGGGTGCATTTGTGAAAATGTTTCTTCCAAAGCTCCCCCCCCTCCACTATAAAAATATTCTCGGTTAAAAACACACGGAAATCTACTGGAAATCATGTAGCAGGAGTTCCATCCGTAATTTCAAATTAATTGAAAACGTTAAAGTTCTCTAAAATTTGCTCAGTGAATTCTCTGTAGTAATTTAGCAGAAGAAAAGTAAAAACTTTTCCTACTCTTATTAATATTAAAGTTAAACTCGAGTCACTAAGGTTCGATCAAATTAAGTTCAATCTAATCTGAAAACCACCTTTTAGAACGATGAGTCAAATCCCGGCAAAGACTCTAAGCAAAGACACCGCCTGGGTGGCTATTCATTTTTGAAAGAAATAACAAATTATTGAAAAACATGTCCGGGCAGCGAAATTCGAAGGGAAAAACGGATATTTTCTGCAACTATGTTCTCGAGAAATAACTTTATATGTGCATGAACAGGAATTTATCACAATATGATATTTTCCTCTCTGTATTTTGGCCGAATTTTTTATAAAGTATCTAGTAACATGAGAAATCAAGTTTTTTTTTTAATGAGGAGAAGAAATATGACTTCCTACAAGAGTAAACGCTATTATTGTCCATACATCTATTACAAATTATTTAGAAATGCTAAATGAAAATATTAAAAAGAGTTTAAAGTGCACACACAGTGTGACGTACCACAGTGCTGACGTAAAATATCCTCAGTGGTAGACGGATCAGGGGTTAAAGTCCCTTTGCCGTTGGGATAACCGTAGGAGGTTTCCGTGTTTTTTTTCTCCATGTAATGCAAATGCCGGTTAGTTCAACAGCAAAAAGTCCTCCACGAAGGCAATTTTCTCCCAATAATCTCCAGAAGTTTCCTTGTCTTCTGGATTGCTTTCAAAATTACGAGGCTGCAGAGTTGGACACCAGTAGTCGTAAACCCAAAATTGTGTCGGCTGCTTAACGACGGTCATAAAATAAAATATTATTGTGTCTTCTTTTATTGAAATTAATTTGTGGCTCCTAATGCGCATACTTTCTGGACTTAATTTTTAATACGAATCATGTAGTTAAACTCTTTTCAGAACTTCTTGTGCGATTCCATATAAAGGCCATTTAAACATATATCTCATATGTGTACACATGCTCATTTTTTCTCTCAGCACTAAAAAACGATGCACACTAATAATATCCTTTTATAAAACTGAAATATCCTTTTTTTTTCTATTAAAAATCTTTTATTGGTTTTTGACATTATTTCTAAAAGGTATTTTACATTTAAATTCTGCCAAGAAATTTTTTAATGTTTTTGTAATGGAACTTGTACAAAACAGTTGAGTTTACACAAAATATACTCAATTTGGGTTATTTTTAGAAGAAAATTCCTTTCCATAAAAATATAAAATAAAATCACGCAAAATTTTCGCTATTTAAGTTATTTGTAAAATGTATTCTCTTTCCTAGCTCAAAAAAAAATAAATAAAAAATTTTAGTCTCAAATACTCCAATCATTTAGAAATGGTGGATTTCAAATATATTTTCCATCCTCATAACAGAAAAAAAATTCTTTCAGAGACTTAGAAAGATGGATTTAAAAAAATACCAATTGGAATTGCTAAAAAGAGTATAGTCAAGTGATATTTTCTAAAATGGTATTGAATTCCAAAGAAGGAACAGTTCACTTAATCCATATTTCATGAGATGTGTTAGATTTCGATGAAGAAAAATATAAGATCAAATATAATTATTTCACCCTCAGTTGATTTGACCTCCTTAAAATTTTGAAATAGAACTATCGGCTTAAGGTGCATAAATAGAATGAATCCATTGAGTATTTATATATCAGAAACTTTTCACCCGAGTTTTTTTATTCTTTCAAAGTTTTGAGAAGTTATATTCAATGGTCAATATACACATTTTTATTTAAATGCGCAACAAGTTTTGAATTTCCATTTTAGCATATTTAAAAAGAAATAACTAATGACAGTTTTATTTTGTAGGATGAGAATATAAATTCGTTTGTTTCTTTTTCTAACAATTCATTGAAACAAAAGTATAAATAAGTCTACTTTAGTTTAAACTCCGTGCACTAATATTGAAACAAAAATAAATAAAATATTATTATAAATTCTTCTAGTTAATTTTTTATACGTAATTTGTATGCCAACTTATTAACATGAATGTCATTCATTTGTATTTAACATTAAAAAAATCTTTAATTATTTGTTTTTTTTTTGAAACAGTAATAAAACATGTAAACTTACTTCACAAAATATCCTTCTCGCCCAATCTTCATCAAAGTTTCCTAATATAATTCTAACATCTTTAGTCTAAAAAAAAAATAAAAACTTTCAAAATTTGATTTGTTCAGTAAATCATTATACCAAGCAAACTTCATAGAAGGAATAAAATTTTGCTTGATGTTGAAAATATATATTATTATAATATATTAAGAGAGATGAGGGGATTCATGAATAATTGGTGGATTGGTGATTTATTCATAATTTCTATCATAGTTATCATTGAGGGAGAATAGATCTGTAGGGTCGGAATTGAATCAAAGAATTTGCTCGACTCCGGTTAGTGAAAAGCTTTTCGGTCCATAGATAAAAATATTGAAAAAAGATTTTTTATCTTATGAAAAATATTCTGACAAATTTTTACAATTATATAACAAGAAATATTACTCAAATGAACAATGTAACAAAGATTTAAATTATTTAATTTACGAAATTAGTTCATCATGAATGAACGTTTTTAAATTTCTGATTGATTTATTACAGCATTGATTATATTAAAAGATCATATTAAATTAATTCGTAATAATTCATCTTTTGACTTGTAAGTTTCAAAACCAATTTTTTTCGTTAAAACAGAAATTTAGTAAAATAGACATAGATAAGTCAATAATAGTTTTATGGCCAAAGAATATTCACCAAACATATATGTATTGATACCCAGCTATTATAAGTTTGCACAGTTATACTTTTTTGTGATAACACATTTTGTTTTTAAATTTATTTTTCGAGTTGCAAAAATTTTAAACAAGTATGAGTCGGAGTAAAACATTTCAACTACCGACTTCACAGCTCTGAAGGAGACCATTTAAGACTATCGTAGCTGCTTTAGAAGAAAAATGGCTGCACATTTTTTGGTTTTCTCAAGCAAAGTTTCTTATCATCTTACAATTTTGCGATTCTCTAAAATATTTCAAGATATTTTCAATGGTTGAGCTTGGTTGACGACACTAAGTCGTCTGCATTTAAGTTCTAAAATCATTCGAAACCTTTTTCTGAAACAATAGGAGAGCCATATTAGTACAATATTCATGTTGATGCACGTTATTATTCTTTATTACGGCTTTATTAGGACTATTAACTTTCTAAAAAGCAATTTTCTAGTTAAATTATTTTCTAGTTCCATAATTAATTCAAAATATTATTTCACATAAAAAATGTCAATTTTTAGTGAAGTTTTTTAATAAATTTGTGTTTAAATACTGCACTACATTTAAATTTTTATTAACTTTATCGTATTAAATTACTCTTATAAACCTCACCAACCTCACCTTATAACAATATACATTCAATTTTAAATGTTATTTCAGGAAATGATTACTAAACAAAGTTTTTTATGTTTACAATTAGATCTCAATCATTTCATTCCAATCAAATTTGAATCAAAAGAAACATATAATTTGAGAAATTTAATTTCGGTGTTAGGAAATTGGGAGCAGAGTGTAAACAAGCAGAATTCTTTTTAGTACATGTGGATATTAAGTAAATAATTTCAACTTTCGTAGAAAATAACTATTTTGTGACAAAAAACAGCACTTATTGTAAAGAAATCATCGGGGTTGCTGAGCTGTAGTGAACGGAGGGCTTAGAGTTGCGCTGGTTAGAGAGAGAGAGAGCTAGTCTAATATATTATTAATTAAAATCTTAAAATGCTAATATTAATTAATGAGGCAACAATTTTGAACTTACTTTGAGTTTCAATAACTCATGCTGCAGTTCTTCAACAAGGCCTTGTGTTTCTGCGATTACAATATCGGCACTATCTAAATCGGTTAAAAGTTTACTGTGGGGCTAGAAAGAAAAAAAAAGTACTGTAATCAATACACATTAGATAATGACATAAACGTATGATTGCAGCAAAGACCATTGCATTATATACTTGAATATAAATCAAAATTGTTTTTAGTTTTGCTCTTTCCTTAAAAATTCTTAATTTATATTTTAATGAGTCAGTAGCTCGACAACAGTATCAATTAAAAAAAATGTACTCCTTATACACAAATGCCTAGCAGTTTTTTCTTTCTATTTGGTGTCAATGGAGTAAATAGATTAGAAGAAAATTTTAAACGAATTTAAATCAGAAATAGTGACATAAAAACCATTGCAATTTTTGAACTATTAGTGCAATCAACAAATACCGTTTTTTTTAATACAGCGTATAAAAATGTATACAGTAATTAAAACCTCACTTGTTTTGATCTCCACTATATATCAATATTAAAGCTTGAAACAAAATTTAAGTTTAAAGTATTAACTTTGCATTTTTGGAACTATTAGTTTTTTTGGCAGGTACTTAATCTCTAGGTACTTGATCGCAGAGTAAAAACATAAATGCATTCAGTGATTAAGATTTCACTTGTTTAGATATCTATCAGATAGCAATGTTAAAAGTGTGTAAACAAATTTGAGTCAAAAATAGTATTGTATTTAAATTAAAACTCTTCCAACTTCCGAAATATAACTCAAAATTATCCATTGACCTGTTTTTAATGTAATTGAAGAGTAAAAAAAATACATAGAAAATAAACTTCATTTTTCCAGACAGTGATGCCAGATGCGTTAGTAAGCATATGTCAATATGAGTGTTTTTTTGACATAAAACCATTAAACTTCAGAACTATTTGTCCTATCTTATATTATTTTGTTTCCTTCTATTCAATGTTGAAAAAATATTTAATAATACATCCGTGTCCATTTTAGTATCTATTCTATGTTTTCTCTTTCGCCAAAATCTAACGTTAGAGGAAGTTCCAAAGGACTTTAAGGATTTGCATGAAGAAGGGAAATTTCCCGTAGGATCAATGCTGAGTTGTATTCCCTCACTTCAGGCGCTAAAGGTGTAATGCAGGAAAGCTACCGTTAAGAGCGATTGAAGGGGAATGTTTCCATTTTAACTTCCACCAAATGTAATTGATATTTCAACCTTTTAATATAATATTTTTTTCCCGAAAAATCTCTTTGTGTCGAGTTTAGAGATAATGGAAGGTTATAATTTATTTTACATCAAAATATTGACCACCATTGTTTAAATTCTTTATCTTTCAAATAACCACTTTCTTTCACATATTTCTCCCAATAGACGGCATTGCGCATGCTTCGGCACAAGATTTTAGTTACAAGATTCTTATGTTTTTTGCGAGATAGTTGATTTATGTTTTTTTAGTTACGAGATTTCTATTCTTCCTTATACAAACTTAAGTAGAAAATTTTTTGACCGCTTGCAAAGAAGAAGGTACCTGAATGTTTGCAGCTGTTTAGAACTTTTTGTTTTAATTGCTCGCCCAGTTTTAAGGGATTTTTTTGAGCTGCTTCTATTTCACTGGAAGGACATTTATAACAGCTCTATGGTTTTTAATTCCTTAATGATCTTATTATCAGAGTGGTAGAAGACACAATTTTTTTCCAATATTTTTTTAAAAATAATTTGTAAAATAATTTGTAAAATTTTTAAATTATCTAAAGTATTTCAGATCTGTAAGTTCATTTTGAACAAAAGCTTGAAATGCGTTTAATAGATGGTTAAAAAATTAAACCAGTGGGTGATTTGGATCTGTGAATGCTAGTGAAACTTTAATGGATATTGAATAACCAAATTGCGAACATTTTCTATGGCACGTATACTTACCAAATCATATCTGGGGGAATTTTGATACAAAGTTCCTACTCTACTCCAATTATAATGCCTTAGGAGAGAAACTCTTGCAGGATTGAAAGCAGTTTCGCTAGGCACAACACGGAAAAAATTTGGATAATTTTCTCTAGTATACATAGGATGTGTATCAGCATAGGTTAACTGAAAGAAAAATTAAACTCATTTTAAAACATATTTATTTCCTTAGAGTAAATGAAAATAACATAAAATTTCGTATTAACAATCAGAAATAACTTTTTAATGTCTGTAATTACAGTCTAATATTATCAGGAAATATGTAATAAAGCATATACTAGCTTCTACGTCAAACTCGCTATAACGAGCACGAAAGGATCACAAAATTTGCTCGTTATTATCGAGTGCTCGTAAAAAACGGGTTCAGGAAAAAATCATGAAAGTTCATATATACTGACTAAATTGTAAAAGATATGAATATATAGATATATGCAGAGAGAGTGAGAGCACAATAAAGACTAAAAGGATAAAAAGAAAAGAGGAAAAAAACGAAGAAAATTAAGAAATTTTATTTACTGCGCATGAACTGCAAGCATATAGAACTCATCAAATAAATTAAAAATATAGATAAAACATGAAAAATAATGTAATAAAGATTAATAAAAAGAAAAGAAGAAAATTCTTAAAATGAAATATTTTTAAAAATATTTAAAGAAAATATTTTTAAAAAAAAACTTTTATTATTTGGTTTTTTGACTTTTTGACATTTTATAATATTACATAAAGCACCTTGTTTTAGGGGCGAAAAACATCATTCTCATGATGATCTTTCAGCATGCATAGATAAATTGTATTTAAGTAAATAATGCATATTTTTCTTCAATTTCACTTGATTTCCGTATTGTGAGTAATTAAATGATATCTATTCCAGTCAAACTCGTTAAAATAAGCTCACGCACAGCGATTTTTTTGTTACTGGACAGTACAAGGGAGAAGTTAGTTAGAAAGAAGATATCATGACTTATTTGGTCATGTCATATCATCATATTCATGACTTATATTAATTAAATGATATCTATTCCAGTCAAACTCGTTAAAATAAGCTCACACACAGCGATTTTTTGTTACTGGACAGTACAAAGAAGAAGTTAGTTAGAAAGAAGATATCATGACTTATTTTAACGAGTTTGACTGGAATAGATATCATTTAATTACTCACACTACGGAAATCAAGTGAAATTGAGGAAAAATATGCATTATTTACTTAAATACAATTTATCTATGTATGCTGAAAGATCATCATGAGAATGATGTTTTTCGTCCCTAAAACAAGATGCTTTATGTAATATTATAGAAACTACGACAATTATTTGTTTTTTCTCTTCGGAATTTGTTTCAACTCATAAGGACTCAGCAGTTCCTTTAAATTTTCGAAGGAGGCGTCTTATCTGAGTAAAAAGCTCTTACTAACTTTGTTTTCATCAGCTTTCTCAATATTTCAAGTTTCAAATAACTAATGACAGTTTGACCATTAAACCATTGGCAACAGTGCTTTACATTTTTTATATTATAGGCATTTAATAATTAATTGTGTTTTGTAAAATGTACGTCATTAAGGTTGCTTAAAAGTTAAATAAGTTACACTTTTAAATATCATTTAATCTCTTAAAAAAATTTAACAATTTATTTTTGGTGTGGAATAAGTAAATACATTTCCTTTCATTTCTACATCAGCGTTGCTCTTAATTTAATCTTATAATTAATTTGTTGATTTCGATACAATCTAAACTAAATCTCTTACATACTCATTAGATTATACAGTGTAGTACATTAAAGTAAAGCAGAATTCGGATGTTGATAGTATCATCACTTTTAATAGATTGCTTGAATCCCCAACAACGTACCATGCACTAAACACACCACACCGAACATGCGGAAAGCCGCAACACAGGATCTCGCCAAAGAGATCTCATTAGTTATATAGAGCCACCAAGCTCTGGCTGACGTTTTGACTTTAATCTATCTTCATCATTCTTTCTCATCGCCAAAGATAGTGAACGTTAGTCCCAAGAATCCCTCTTTGGAAAATACATCCCTGCCGTGAGAGTAGACGGGGTGAAATTTTCCCTGTAATTTAGAAATTCCTGTTCCTTTGTGTACTTTGAGTCTAGAGTATGTCACGTGTTTTAAGATGGTAGGGAATTTTAAGGGGAGTGAACTGGGGCGAGTTGTAAGTGGAATGATGGTGTGGGGGTGGCGTCTGTTGAATTGCATTCTTCCTTGGTAACATTCTCGTTGAGATTGCTACAATGTCGTAAAAGTGGAAACAATGGTTCTCTATTGATTTTGATCTTAGAAGTCTGAGTTTATTTTAACTTTGGATAATAGAGACTGTTTCGTAAAATAATGTATTGTATAAATTCAGAGATATATAAGTAAGGTTAATGCATTTGTAAATGCTACATCGATATCGATCTCGCTTTAAGTGTATAATAATATAATTACTGCATTAATTACTTAAACCATCTGGGATTAGAAACAACAACATCAGAATCATTAATCATCATCATTAGCAATTATTATTGTAATAATATTCTAATTTAATGAACCAGAAAAAAAATTCTTTTCATCAAAAGAAATTGATAGATACAGTACACGTAAAACATTTTTACGATTTATGTATGGAAACTGATTTCTGAACCCCCTGGTTTAAAAACAAAACTGATTCTTCAATGCTATAAGTAATAAACTTGTCATATTGGTTCTTACAATAACGTTTGTTATTAATATTTACTGTTTGAAACTTATATTAAATGAAAGCAATGCATCTTATTACAGCACTTGTTATCAAAATATTTATACTCTCTTTATTGGAGAATAAATTTATTCCTTTTCTTTTTTTTTTAAAAAAAAAAGAGATATATTTTGCAAACTTTCACCACTTTTATCAAAAACTGTCTTTAAATGAAACAACTGTCAAAATATGTGATAAACTACTTCCTTTGTAACAATGAAAGTTGGAAGACAGGTAGTTTATCAAACTTCTAATAAATATATTTACTTAAAAGGAAGCAATTTTATCTTCATTGACAGAAGTGTGTAAAGTTATGATTTTGATAAGAAGGAAATTTAATTAATGAAATTTATTTCTTTTGCTTATACTCAGTTTTGTTAAGTTAGTGGATATATTGGGTTGACAATGTTGCCATTCCGCTCATCAAAGTATACTGAATTTCTTGCATTTATTTGCTTAAACATAACCAAAAAGAATTTTATTGCATTTCATTTTGATTTGTATACTTAAATAACAAATGTTTTATTATCTCTATTTTTTAATCTATTATATTTCTTCATAGCATATGAATTAATAAATTAAATAAATTATTAATCAGTTATGTCAATTTATTTCATAAATTAGTGAATTTATTAGCATTAATAAATGAAGGTTTATAGGTAAAAAGTTATACATATTGCGAATTTTCTCAAAATTATGTACGATTAGGATCAAAACATTCTTTCCATTTAATTAAAAATATTTAAGAAAGTTTAATAATTACCAAAAAGAACGAGACATTCTATATTACATAAAACTTTTCACAATATACTGATATAATCATCAACATAACATAATAGTATAAATTTGAGTGTTAGTTTTACTGTTATTAATAATTTAGAAAAAATATGCGATTTTACAAAAATTCGGAAAGTTGGCCTTTAGTTCATACGGCCAGTTTTTAAGAAAAGAGTTCTATACTCCTGCTGATAACGAACATCAGCAAAAAAGCTGTGGTGGCTTATGGGATAGAGTGCTCGCCTCTCAATGAGTTGAACCGGGTACCAGTCATAGTGAGACTGGTCGATACAAATTCTGCACCCGGCTCGCACCGACTATAGTGCTGACATCAAAATATCCTCAGAGGTATACTGATCATTGCGACATTAATGTAATTGTTTTATAACTTTGTAGCATCTAAAGCTTTTAAATGAGTTACTTTGCTTATTTAGTTTAAAATTTGTATCCAAATAATACTACAAAAATCTAATTTAAAAGTTTAAAAAATAATCACAATTAATTTCAAATATGTGTCTTAAATTAAATATATATTTGATTGTTGTTCTTTTTTCTTAAAGAAAATATACTTTAAATTTAAGTTATCATGAAAGAAAGTGTAAGAATAAATTATAAATAAAAATATTTTACTTATCCGAATTTATACTAACTTATAACTATTTCATAAACAAAACTATGCCTATAACTTCGTCTATGCTAATTATTTAATTGGACTTCAAACAACTTCCTATTGTGGTAGTTACAATCGACTTAATACGGTGGTGCACACCTTTTTCCATATCGGTTACAACGTCAGGCAACAAACTCAAAGGTCCTAAATTTGATCCTAGAAGACAACAAGGAGCCTCTCTTTCGAAGCTCTCTTCATTTGTAAACCCCAACTCCTACTCCTTTACTGCCCTACAGATGGTAGCACTAGACTGCGGTTCAATTTGATTCGACAAACAAAGTCTTAACTCGAACTAAAGATAACTTTTAAAACCATAATTTTAATTTACTGTCATTAGACCATTTTTCACGATGAAAAACTTACGGATAAGACTTTATTTTTATGGTCTAGATGACTTTATGGTCATCATTTATTTTTACAGTCGGTGTCTTACACACTTTTTGTTAGACACTGACCGAATTCTTTCTATGATTTTTTTTACAGTGTGTGTTGAATTACGACGAATGGCGTTGATCATCGATTCAACCGAAATTTTTTTTTTAAACCCTGGAATAAAAATTGATTTTTCCCCTTCTGTCTTAACAGTTCATCTTTCATATTCATTAGTTAAGTTTTTTTTTAAATTAAGTGTTAGTTAATTTGTTTTAAATATTTTTTTTATTACAGTGCACTTAATTTTATCATGCATTGTAGTATGAAACAATTTTGCATTAAACTAGCGAACTAACCAAACGCAACATTCGAACACAAAATATATTATCTGCAGACAGATTTTGGAATTTTTCTATGTTGTTGCATATCAGCATAGAGCTTCTGAAGATCAATAGGGAGATCAATTTAGAAGTATAGGAAAGACATTATCAATAAATTTCATCCACAATATATTTTTCACTGGCATTTAAAGTACTGTAAATAATTCACTAAACGGCGCAGATATGTTAAAAA